CCCCCCCCCCCCCTGCCGATTCGGCGCGCCGTCCGTACGACGCTACATCTCTCGGCGGCGCGTGGAAGCAACAGCTGACCCGCGGCACACAGTAGCTCTCTCGCCTCCTAGAGCGGCACTTCGTCACTTTCGCACTCCGTGCGAAAAACCCCCCCCGAACGTACGAGTGGTGGAGGAGTCGCGTCGCCATCTTTAGGCACGGTTGTACCCATCCGGCCGCCGTCTTCGTCGACGTCATCGCTGTCGCCGTCGCTGGCCGTCGACGACAATCGTAACACATTACTCTGGAAGCGCCGTGTGCGCCTCCGTGGACGCGACACGACACGACGCGACGTGCCGGGTAAACGCGAAGCGATCGCATCGCCGTGAGCGAGCTCGAATATATCGACTGTGCCGCCCCGTTTGTCGCGCGCGCTCGATTTACATTAACGTGCCGGGGTGCAAGAGAGGAACAAGGTGCGCGTCCGCGAGTAGTATCCCGTTCTCGTCTCTCTCTCTCCGTACGAACATCACGAGGAGGAGCAACGGCAACCCGCGGGGGACGTGGTGAGGACTGCTGGGTGAGTGAATACGAGAGCAAAAGAGAAACGGTTCGGTCGGTCAGGACGTCGGAGTGCCGTTCGCAAGCCGCTGCCGTCGCGTCACGTAAGTCGGTGAGTGCGATTTCGCTCTCCTTCGTGCCGTTTCGCGTGCAAGTGAAACTTGGTGCTGTGTGACTTTGCTCGTGTCGGCCACGGGACACGGGTGACGGGGGCAGGAGGGCGAGATACTTGATTACTCTTGTCAAAACGGAGCAGGTTCAATAGACGGGACTTTCGAGGTCGGACCGACGGACGGACCGTGTGTTTTACGCGAGAGAAAGAGAGAGAGAGAGAGGAGAGACACGGCACCCCGCCGCCGTCGCCACCGCCAAACAACGACGACAAACTGGTACAATTGACAGAGAAGATGGCGCGAGCCGCGGACGAGGATCGCTGCTGACCCATTTTTTTTCGACGCGGCAAATCTCTGGGAGTACGGGAGCCTCTCGCGAAAGGACGACGACGACGGAGAAGAAATCTCTCCCTCGCCTTCCTCCCCCCCTCTCTCCGGCTCTCACTCGGTCTCGCTTGATGTGGGCGAGCGCCGTTCGCGGAGTGTGGTGACGTTCGCCGGGAAGAATATACTCGGCGACAGCCAGGGAAGGAAGCCGAGAGAGAGAGAGAGAGAGGGACAGAGCGAGAGAGGAAAGGGTGCCACTCTCTCGCGTCGCGCTCGCGCGCGCTTCTCTTACCCCCCTTGCGTGTGTGTGTTTTGTGTGTGGCCTGTTTTTTCTACCGTGTGATAATATACTCGCGCGAGGTGTGCGTGTTGTAACCCGTCTCCGTCTCTCTTCCCCACGATCATCTCTTTTTTTTGGAGGTGATTGACGGTGTTCACCCAAAGTACCCGCGCGCGCGGTTCTCCTTCGAAAACCAGGACCAGGTCCAGAAGCCCGTTCTCTATAGGAGCGAGGAGAACAACGGGGAGAGACTCTGGGAGAGACTCTCCGTCTTCGTAATCGTCAACAATATTGTCGGTGCGCGGAAGCGTGTCGCGTCGACTCGCGGGACGCCGCTACGTTACGGGAGAGACGTCTGGACCATATCGACAGCGCGTGTTAGAAGGTAGCAAAAATTCTGAGAAGACCGGAGCTTACCGGAGCCCTGGCAGGCTCATCGGCGGCTGCGGACGCGGACGCACGCCGACGAAGACGTAGCAGCCCTCTGGATTACCTGAGGCATAAGGCCCGTGAAGCTGCCCGTGAAGCTGCCTTGGCAGACACGGGCACCAGCGCGGCATCTAAAATGGGTAACAATGCCGCGACCGCCAACAAGAAGGTCGACGCCGCCGAGAGCGTCAAGGAGTTCCTCGATAAAGCGAAGAAGGAGTTCGAGGACAAGTGGAAGAAGAATCCGACCAATACCGCCGCCTTGGACGATTTCGAACGTATCAAGACCCTCGGCACCGGTTCGTTCGGTCGCGTGATGATCGTTCAGCACAAACCCACTAAAGAGTACTACGCCATGAAGATACTCGATAAGCAAAAGGTCGTAAAGCTGAAACAGGTCGAGCATACGCTAAACGAAAAGAGGATACTGCAAGCTATCAGTTTTCCATTCCTCGTATCGTTGCGTTTTCACTTCAAGGACAACTCTTACCTGTACATGGTGCTGGAGTACGTTCCCGGTGGCGAGATGTTCAGCCACCTGCGCAAGGTCGGCCGCTTCTCCGAGCCGCACTCGCGTTTCTACGCGGCTCAGATCGTCCTCGCGTTCGAGTATCTGCACTACCTCGACCTCATCTATCGGGACCTGAAACCGGAGAATCTGCTAATCGACTCGCAGGGCTACCTCAAGGTCACCGATTTCGGCTTCGCCAAGAGAGTGCAAGGACGAACGTGGACTCTGTGCGGCACGCCGGAGTACCTAGCACCCGAGATCATTCTCAGCAAGGGTTACAACAAGGCGGTGGACTGGTGGGCACTGGGCGTGCTGGTCTACGAGATGGCCGCTGGCTATCCACCATTCTTCGCCGACCAGCCGATCCAGATCTACGAGAAGATCGTGAGCGGTAAGCCACGCTTCCCGTCGCACTTCGGCTCCGACCTCAAGGATCTACTGCGCAATCTGCTGCAAGTCGACCTCACCAAGAGGTACGGCAACCTCAAGGCGGGCGTAAACGACATCAAGGGCCACAAGTGGTTCGCTAGCACCGACTGGATAGCCGTCTTCCAGAAGCGAATAGAAGCGCCGTTCATACCGCGCTGCAAGGGACCAGGCGACACCAGCAATTTCGACGATTACGAGGAGGAGACCCTGAGGATCTCGCTGACGGAAAAGTGCGCCAAGGAGTTCGCCGAGTTTTGAACGCTGCGCCAGGTCGGCAAGTTGCTCGCAACCGGAGGTGGTGGATACGCACGTCGTGTCGCGCCTCATCGTCGGGCTGACGCGGCACGGCGCTCCTTCGTCATCGTTCGCCGTCATCGCCGTCGTCACGTTGGTGATTCGCTTTTTTTGCGAAAAAGAAAGAGAGAGAGAGAGAGAGAGAGAGAAAGAACGAGCGAGAGGGAGAGAGTAAAAGAGCGGGAGAGAAAGAGAGAGAGAGTGCATCTGTGTGTGTCAGCGCGCGCATCCGCGTGTAATATATGAAAGCTGTTGACTAGGCGAAAAACGGAGTGAAGTTTTTTCCTTGAGGAAAAGTTTCTCGTATACTGGAAGGACACCCTTCCGGGTGTGTTATTTTCGAGGGGGAGAAAGAGAGATAGAGAGGAAGAGAGAAGTAATATGAAGGAGCACGTGGCAATTGGCGCGTCTTTTTTTGTTGCGTTTCGCGACCGAACTCGCTAGACAAAAGTAGAAAAGGAGAGAGAGAAAACGCGGACACGGATTGATATATGGGACGTTTACACGCTGGCGTTCAAGCGTCCAAAAATTATATACACACACATAACTTTTGTTGTTACGTATGTAGTAGACGTCACACGCCAGCATCACTTTTTACATGAAGTCTCTTTTTTTAGCCGGTTAATCGATTCAGTAACGTTCCCCCCCTCCGCCATCCATTGAAGCTTTATGATCCGGTTTACGGAGGAGGCCGTGTGTAAAGTTTGTTCCCAATGATTAACTGTTATCAGCGTCGGAAATGTCACCGTACCGAAGTTACCTTGTACATATAGTCTCTCGTTGTCTTTGCGCGAACGACGTTTCCTATCTCCTCCGTTCCCTCGTTCCCTTTTCCTTCCCTCACATACGACAACGTCGTCTCTTTCCTCCCGCGGTGTCTTCGCCAACTCTTCGGTAAGCACCCCCCTCCGCCCTCCATCGCTCGTTCACCCCCTCAGTTTTCTCTCGTGTTACACACACACACACGGTACTCGAATCGAGAAGGAGGTACCGTACCACATTACGAAGAGAGTCATATGCATCGTTCGTTATCTATTTGTCTCTTATCTTCTTTATTCGTCGTGAGAGATTGTGCGAGAGAGAAAGAGAGAAAGGGAATGAAAGTACGATGCGCTTACTCGTTGTGAGTATGATCCATACTATTTGTACAACTAGTCGTCACATACGCATGTACACACACACACACACAAACACACACACACAAAATAAACATATAAATACGATATGATCTGAAATAATGTTTATATATGAAACACATTTTCCATCAATCGCCGATGACGGGCCAATTGGAGGAGACACGTGGCTTCTTTATACCTGCGCCTGCGGTGAAATTTGCGCGTGAGGAATATTTCTCTACACGCGCAAGACAGACCAGAGATATCTATAAATATGCTCGTCATCGTCGAAACTCGTTGCATCCGCACGCTGCGCAGAACGGTTTTAATCCCTTGCATCGTTCCGACGTGTTTCTCGTTATCTACGTTATACATATACCGGAAGATTAAACGTTTAATTCTGCAACGTAGACCGAGTATGAAACGTACATCTCAAATTGTTGTACACGAAGAAAGAGAGCTTGCGATAGTATATCTATCGTATTCCAGTTTTACTTCGTGAGCATAAAGATATTTTATTACATGCAACGCACCAATATTAGAAGGAACGAGGCTATTAAGGAGATTGTAAGGCAAATGCAATATGTTAAGAATTAAAAATTGAAAAAGTTACGGATTATTCGAAATTGTAATTAAAAGTAATACAAAAGAATTAGAGACAGTTTATCGTATTTGGGTCAAAAGTTATTTCAATTAAAAGCAATATATTTTTCAAATTTTTATTTTAATAGAAATATCTGAAAATGTATTATAAGATAATGATAAAAATCTCAATTTTTTTTTATATAAGTACTTTATGAATTTAAGAATATTTATGTAAAGTTACATTGAGATGCAGACGTTAGTTGTTCAGTAAAGAAACAAAATATTTACTTGTTATAAACTAATTGGTGAATCTCAATGAAACTTTGCATAAGTTATTTTTAATATTTGAAGTATTTGTATAAAAAAATTTTAATTTTTGTTTATAACAATAAAAATAATAACAAACAAAATTAATGATCTATAAAAATATGTCGCTCAATAAAAATAGAATATTAGGAACTTTCATATGTACGTAGGTTGTTTAAAGCGTAAATATTAATATATGTGTTTTATGCTCTTACAACCTCCTTAAACTTCAAACAGTTTAGGTTGCTAACAATTTCCTCGTAAAACCGAGCTTTAACGTGTGCGCAAGTGTTACGATAATACCGTCGTCAATGTCGTCGTAATGTAAATGTCTTCGTATCTTTGAATTCTTAAAGACTCGTCACAACCGCATAACGAAAGGAAAACAAACGTAACCCTGACTAATGAGCTCAATGGCAAGACATAATAGGAATGAGAGGAAGAGTGCAGGAGAATGTAGGACATCCTAAAATGTGTTAAACCGGAAGCGAATTAGGACTTTTTGTCTGCAACTTGGATCTTTTTTGGCACATAAGCGATATTTCACTTTCAAATTTTTTTCTCATTTCTGCTCCAATTCCAATTTTTATTAAATAAAAGTTTTAATGTTTAAGTTAAGAAACGAATTTGATAATGTAATCCTGAATTTTTTTTTAAAGCTTCGAACAATAAAAATACTTGAACTAGGCAAAAAAGAATCAGATTGCAGATCAAGGAAGTAAAAATATAATTGCAGGCGGAGGGTTAATAAGCATCGCAGTAATGAGGCACTTTGATGTAAAAAATCGTTCAATCGGATAGCAAAAGATGATCGCGATTAAGCCCGATCTATATAAGATGCAAAATGTGAGTCGCAGGTCACAAGCTTGTTGCATCAACCAATCTGATGCATCAATTTTAAAAGTGATGCTTCGTGATTGGCTAATGCAAGAAGCTTCCGATTTGCGACTCACGTTTTGCGTTTTATGTAGACCGAAGTTGGCGTTAGCCACGCGCGATCATCTCTCTCTCTCTCTCTCTTTCGGGAAGATCAGATCGAGAATGATCAACTTTCGAGATCTACGTAAAACACCTTCGCACGTTGACGTCAACATCATCGGTAGAGAAAGTTTCGTTAATGAGTAAAACGGTCATTCAGAATTGGATTGGGCACAGGCCAGAAGCGCGACGTAGCTGGACGGTATCGATTCAGCGGCGATGGGCTAACACGCGCGCGGACAATGCGGAGGAAATGCGGCATGTAAGTTGACGTTACGAAACTTTTATATCCTTTTAGCATCGCGATGAGTCGAGTATGAACTTTACAATGTCGCGCAACTATGCAAGTTTTCAAAGCCCCCCTATTTAGAGGAACGAACTGATTCACAAACGATGCAGTCTATGCGTTATATCGAATTTTTGCGTTTTACTGAAAAAAGTAATATAATAGTAATATAAAGTTATAATAATGTGATAATAATATGAATCTCATATTGGAAATGTCGTAAATTATCCGATCACTTATGTATGACTTTGAAGATTTGCATTTAACGACGAGTATCGATGTTGCCGGCATCCTTCCGCGCGTTAAACGAGATCGGAATTTTGCCGGGAAATTATTAGGTCATGAGAGAGTGATCAGCTGATCGATGCGATAACATATATCTTGAATCTTTGCAGTCTCCAGTTAATAGCGATACGAACAGAAAGATAGGCGGTACATTCATTACATATGCGAGTGTAATTTCACAAATGACGATAGATTAAAAAGAGGAGGGGGGAGGGGGGGACAACATTCTTATATCTTTCTTTCATATACGATTGCACACTCCGCGATGTTAAGGAAGTTGTAAGGCAAATGCAATTTGTTAAGAATTACTTGTGAAAAATTACAGATTATTCCAAATTGCATTTAAAAGTAATACAAAAAAATTAGAAAGTTTACCATCTGGATCAAAAGTTATTTCAATAAAAAGTAATCTTTTTTTATATAGGTACTTTATGAATTCAAGAATATTTATGTAAAGTTACATTGAGATGCAGACATTAGTTAAGTAAATAAAAAAAAAACAAAATATTTATTTGTTATAAATTAATTGGGGAGTTAATTGGTTAAGTCATTTTTAATACTTAAAGTATTTATACAAAAAAATCTAGATTTATTAGAAAATTAGAATTTTCATCATTTAAAAAAATTTTGTTTATAACAATAAAAATATTAATAAATAAAATTAATAATTTATAAAAATGTGTTGCTCAATAAAAACAGAACACAACTTCCATATGTATGTAATTTGGTTAAAGCGTAAATATTAATATATGTATGTGTTTTATGCCTTTACAATCTCCTTAAGAAGGAATTGAAATGAAGGAGGAAACGACTAGTGGTTGATGCGACTCGCAGGAAAATAAGCAAAGTACTTGGCGCGGCTTCGTGACGAGATTTTGGGATAACGAATCTTGGCCGATCCGGTATTGCACTTACATTTACATATATATATACGTGTATATATGTTACACGTATATGTTGAACAAATAATTGGAGCACTAAGTATAGCAGAACTAAGCCATTTAAGACAAGATTGCATTGATATAATAGTTCTACGAAATAGCGTTCAAGTCTAGAGATCCATATTGTATTATTCTTGGTTCTTAATTTTCGAGTAATATCATGAGAAGTCGTCCTAATTACTTAGCCCGTTCCAATTGCACACTTTCGTGACAATCGTGCTATGAATTCTGAACATATGTGTTAATATTTGAATTTTAATTAATTGATCCAATCGTATTACATTACATTCTAATTAATAGATAATTTGGAAGATTCGTAATAATTTATTTTGAAAGACATTCTGAGATATATAACTTATGAAAACGTCTTCAGGTTTCAGTATTATATAAAGTTTTATTTGTAGCGAACGAATTTGAAATCCACATTTAGCACATTCAAATTAAGAACAGAGCCTCTATTCTTGAAAAGAGACGTATACGAACAACTAAGGAAATACTAAAGTATACGTATACTATAGTATTTTCCTAGTTTTTCGTATATGTTTATTTTCAAGAATAGGGGCCCAGTTTGTGTTTATTTTCCAATTCAGAGAGACAAGTGTCTTATATCATGATATATGATATTTCTTTAAAGAAAGCTCTTTCATTAATCTGACTCGAATCGAGTATTCTCTATTTTTTTTTTTTCAATATCGCGATTATTCTTCAGTCATCGAGGGTACTTGTATTTTCAAGATAGCAATCGCTCTGTCAATAACAATCTCAAGAATCTTCAGGTAATTCGCTATCACATTTTCTACGATCCGCGATTAAACCTGTCTTTTCCGTCACATAAAACGATAGCATAAAAATTGTTAATTCGCATTCCTATTACTTTCTTATGCAACCATTACTTATCTCGTCTATCGGAATCTAGTCTAGCAAGATATTTAGGTTTTTTTTTTACTTAACATGGAATAGAGATAATTTATATTTTAAGTATCGCGCTGTTGCAATTTAACCTTTGTCCTACGCAACTTATCATTTTCTTTCTTTATTCGATTTAGATAATAACGCGATGTTTTTCTAACATTGCTTTTCATCTCTGCGATGATTAATCCAAGTTCAATATTGATATTCCAATTTAGAGTTGCTATCTATCTCT